CTGTGTTACTGAATGACGGTGTTCATGTATGGTCACCTTCCCACGAGAAACTGTGGTTAACTGTCGTAGAAAAATATGCGTTTGCCTCACTAACTCAGATGCGAATATAAAAGTGTATATATTTTTTCGGATCTGAATTGAGCTTGTGCCTAATGCTTGTGATGAAAGTAAGGAGTATCAACAGGTGTGGATCATCTGAAGCTTACATGTAAATTGCTGAATTCTGTTCAAACACAGACTAGTAAACTTGTCTTAGTTTGTATAAAAATTTACAAATAAAACACAGAGTGAAGGCCACACAACAGAGGGCATTCCATAGACGTTAACGCTACATTTTAGGTTCTGGTTTGTTTGCTAAGTCATTTGAGTAAATATATTATACCCACCTTAGAGAAATGAAGACTGTGACAAAATATGGGGCTTATTCAATAGCTAATATAGGTCGAAGTATGCCTCAATCGATCGACTAGGTTTGCATCATTCATGGGAACTTCTTAAGTGACCCGATGTTTCCTCTCAGGTATCCGCGAAAGCATAAAATACTACTTCACTAACTTGCATTCGGTGTGGAGCTGTCAATGAGAATAGTGGAGTTCCTATTGTNCATGCACTATCAGAAAGTGCAGTTAAGCAGCATTCAAAAATGTAATTAGTCTGAATTTGAAAGATCGATTAAAGCAATTGTAGGACCTGCTTCTGTATCCACCACGGGTCTCAATAATTGGTGGGTGGCACTAAACCCTTACGATGCAGAGTTAAACAGCGGTCCAGCTCCTCATACTGTATTCACGCCGTGTATCCACGTTCACTTTTCAGCAAACAATGCAGTCTGTTGTAATATCTCTACGAAACTGTCACCGCAGAAGGTTTTAAATTTTAGTTGCCTGATCCCAAGTTACGCCAAAATATGCCTATTATGCCCTACGTTCGACCGTTACTTCATGCTTCGTCTTTGTAGAATGTCATAGAACGTCTCCAAGCACCCCAATGATTAGGAAACACGTGCAACAAGTTTACTAGGCTGTTCAGAAAATGACAAAAAGGGACCAATATTTGTGGCGTGTTGTGGCATGACGTGTTGCAGCCAAAGAATGTAACCGATAAAAAGCGTTTAAAGCCATAAACCAGATAGCACTAGAGAAGTAATTCCGTTTCAAATGCTTAGGTAGTTTATGCGTGTGGACCTACCCCTCTCCTTTATTCAATGGCCGACAACAATGTTTACCTTAGAAAACCTCTTTTTACATCAAGCAGTCAACCGATTTA